CACAAAAAATGCAAATCAAAACGACCCTGAGATACAATCTTATACCTGTGGGAATGGCCAAGATCAAACCACTAATGACAGCCTATGTTATAGAGGATGTGGTGTAAGAAGAACACTTCTCCACTGCTGGTGGGAGGGAAAATTTGTTCAGCTTCCTTGGAAATCAGTATGGAGATTTCTCAGAAAATTGGAAATCAATCTACCTCAAGACCAAGAAATACCACTCTTGGGCATACCCCAAGGACACTTGCTCAACTATGTTCATAGCAGCATTATTCATAATAGCCAGAATCTGGAAACAACCTAGATGCCCCTGAAGAATGGATAAGGAAAATGTAGTATATTTACACAATCAAGTACTACTCTGTGGGGGGGTGGCAATAACTTCATGAAATTTGCAAGCACTGGACAGAACTATAAAAAAATCATCCTGAGTGAGATATTCCAGACCCAGAAAGACAAACATTGTATGTACTCACTCATAAGTGGATATTAGTTGTAAAGCAAAGGATAACCAGGCTACAATCCTCAGCCCCAGAGTTATTAGATAACACGGAGGACCCTATGAGGGACACATGAATCTCTCTGGGAAGCAAAATTAGATGAGATTTCCCGGGTAAACTTGGAGTGGGGCAAGGAAGCAAAGGGGAGAGGATGTGATATGGGAGCATGAAGGATCAGGATGGTCTAGTTGTGGGCATAATGGAGAGACAGTAATGGGGGAGATGTCTTGATAAAGGGGACAATTGTGGGGTTAGGGAGAAACCTTGTGTCAGGGAAAGTCCCAGGAACCCACAAGGATGATCCCAGCTAAGATTCCTAGCAATAGTGGAGAGGGTGCCTGAGCTGGCCTTCCTCTGTAATCAGACTGGTGATCACCCTAGTTGTCATCATAGAGCTTTCATACAATAGCTGATGGAGGCAGATACAGAGATCCACACCCAGTCACTGGGCCAAACTCTGGGAGTCTAATCGAAGAGAGGGTGGAGGGTTTGTATGAGTTAGGGGGTGCTCAAGATTGTGATGGGGAAACCCACAGAGACAGCTGGCCTGAGCTTGTGGGAACTCATGGACTCTGGACTGACAGCTAGGGAACCTGCATAGGACTGGCCAAGGCGCTATGCATCTGGGTGACAATTGTGTAGCTTGGTCTTTTGTGTGGCCCCTAGCTGTGGAACCAAGACTTGTTCCTGATGCATGAACTGTCTCTTTGGAACCTATTCTCTAGAGTGGGGTGCCTTGTTCAGCCTTGATGCAGTGGGAAGGAGCTTGGTCCTGCCTCAGCTTAAAATGCCATGCTTTGTTGATTCTCGTGGGAGGCCTTACCCCAAATAAGTGGAGACAGAGGATGAGTGGATGGGGGGTAGGGGTAGGTTGGGGGAGGGAGCAGGAGGAGAGGAGGGAGGAGAAACTGTAGTTGGTATGTAAAATAAATTTAAGCATAATGAAAAAAGAATAAAGATACAACTAATGTAATAAAGAATGTCTTTCTGGTAAGTGTTACAAAAGAAATCAATGGATTGCCTTAAGAAAAAATTTAAAATTATTTTAAGGACACTTGACAAGATGTGGAAGAATACAGACTTTATTAAAACAAACAAAAATATTCATCACTTGAATGAGAAACTTGAAAAATAAATACATATCATAAAAAGAACCCAACAGAAGACACAGAGAACTCAGTAAATTGAAATAAAAATACCATTGTGATTCTCAATAGCAGATTACATCATGCAAAAGGAATAATTCTGAGCTTGAACACAGGTTTTTTAAAATAATGCAAGACAAAAATGAAAAAGAAATAAGAAAAAGACAAAGGCTAGCATATATAAGGTTAACAAGATACCATAAGGGGAAAATAGTCACATTACAGGAGCTACAGAATGAAAACAAACCTGCTTGTGAGGGCTGGTGAGGTGGTTTAGAGTTAGAGGCGCTTGCTTCCAAGTTGACACCATGAGTTCCATCCCTGGAACCCACATGATAGAAGGAGAAAACAGACTCTTGTAAGTTGTCTCTAAGCTCCACACACACGTTATGGCATCCATGTTCAAAACACATACAAATAAATAGATAAGTAAATAAATCTATTTAGTTAAATAATAGCTGAAAGCCTTCTAAATATTGAGAAGTGCATGGGCATCTAAGTGCAGTAAATTCAAAGAACTCAGTTTAGATTAAACTGTCAAAGATAAACTATATTCATGCTCTCAAAAGTCCAAGGCAAGAAATTCTAAAAGAAACAAGAGAAATATGCCAAGTCACATATAAGCAAGGCCATAGTAGAATAACATCAGAGTCCACCCAGAAACTTGCAGAAATGGAGTAAACTTTCCGATTTAAAAAGTTAGTTTGGCTGGATAGATTTTAAAAGTGAAATTAAATTATATGGTGTCTACAAAACCTTATAAAATAGTGTGGAAAGACAGATACAAACCCACTGGTTTAGAAAAGCAAAACAAGACAGGAATGAGGAAGAAAGATATGCAGTCCATGTTGCTTAAAGGGAACTCATTATCCTGCCTAGCCTGGCTCCCTTTGCCATTAAAGACAGATATTTGGTCAGAATGAGTCCATAATCAGAAAAAAATGAGATGTCAAGAAGAGTCAGGTCCACATCATCTATTGCCCCCAGTCATCTATTGACCCACAAAAGTAGAGCTCAGACTAAACTGAAGCAGTAAAAATAACAGAATCCTAAACATCATTGATGACCCTGCAAGACATAACAGTTAACACAGGAAAAAGGTGTGTGTGTGTGTGTGTGTGTGTGTGTGTGTGTGTGTGTGTGTGTGTGTGTGTGATATGTTAATGGGAAGTCCCATGAGCTTAAGCTCAGACTTGTCCAGTCAAAAGAAACTGCATCTGGAAGATGTGCTCAGCATCCATGTAGGATGCTCGACATCAATGTAGGATGCTCAATCCCTTTCAGACAGAGGATGAATGGTCCAGGAGCAGTGCAAGATATTCATCATTACCTCTGGCATCACAAGGCCCATGAGACCTAGAGAGAGAAGAGCAGCAGTGCCTAGATGCTCTTTAGACTGAATTAGAACTACTCACCATTCATTTTCCACAGACAATTCAGGAGAAACTAAGTAGGTGCTGGGTTTCTTGTGGGAACTCCAGGAACTCCCAAACGCAACAAGTAAAACCATATTGATCTCCAAAATTTACAAAGAACTCAAGAAGCAAGTCTCCAAAACATCAAAGGACCCAATTAAAAAGTGGGCTGCAGAACTAAATAGAGAGTTTTCAATAGAGGAGTCTAAAATGGCTGAGAGGCACTTGAGAAAGTGCTCAACATCCTTAGCCATCCGGGAAATGCAAATCAAAACAACTCTGAGATACCATCTCACTCCTGTCAGAATGGCTAAAATCAAAAACACCAATGATAATTTATGCTGGAGAGGATGTGGTGAAAGGGGGACACTCCTCCATTGCTGGTGGGAGTGCCAACTGGTTCAGCCACTTTGGAAATCAGTATGGAGATTCCTCAGAAAAATGGGAATAAACCTACCACAAGACCCAGCAACTCCACTCTTAGGCATATATCCAAAAGATGCCCATTCATACAACAAAGATGTCTGTTCCACTATGTTCATAGCAGCTTTATTTGTAATAGCCAGAACTTGGAAGCAACCTAGATGTCCCTCAACCGAAGAGTGAATAGAGAAAATGTGGTACATTTACACAATGGAGTACTATTCAGCAGAAAAAAACAATGGAATCATGAGATTCGAAGGCAAATGGATGACACTAGAAGAAACCATCCTGAGTGAGGTAACCCAGTCACAAAAAGAGAAACATGGCATGTACTCTCTCATATATGGATTTTAGACATAGATCTGGGGAGTGCCAGCCTACAAGCCTATGGCCAGAGAGTCTGGGAAACAGAAACTTCATTTAGTGGCTGATTGAAGAAGAGGCAGACTCCCTCGGTTAAGTACTGAGCTGAACTCAAGAAAGCCAGTAACAGAGAGGGAGGACTGATGATCAAAGGGATTAAGACTGAGCTGGTTTAACCCCCAGAAACAGCTGACCAGACAGAGGTTAACTCTTGAATCCCAGGCATCAGCCTGGGAATCCAGCATGGGACTGATCAAGACCCCCTGAATCTGGGTGTCAGTGAGGAGGCCTAGGCAATCTATTGAGCCTTGGGCAACAGATCAGTACCCATCCCAAGTATACACATGGACTTTGGACTCCCATAGAACAATGTGAGGTGCACTCTCACCCTGAACTCTTGGGGAAGGGTCTAGGCCCTGCCCTATATGAAATGACAGACTATGGACACCCCCATGGAGGGCCTCACCCTCCCTGGGGGAATGAGGGGATAATGGGGGGGTTGGGGGAGGGCACGGGAGGAGGGGAGGGAAAGGGAGAGGGACCTGGAACTGACTTGTGAAGCAACCTTGTTTCTTATCTAAATTTAAACTGGAAAATAAAATAAAAAATAAAATAAAATAATAAAAAAACCATAGACTTAAGACATGAAGCTTGGGAAAAGAGGCAGTGGTATGGTGACCACATGACATACTTAAGCAAGATTATAACAACATTGCTTGATTTTTAAATACAAATAAAACTTTGTGGGGGAAAATAAAAAATGAATGGATGAATATTTAAAGAAATTGTGATTTTTCTGCTTAAAAACATGTGCAATACCCATGTGTTGAATATCATACTATACCCCATGGGCATATAAAAAACGATGAAAGGAAAATTAAAAAGCAAATAAATAAATGTTTCTGACTAACACAAAGAGAGTAAAGTGGCACAGGTCTGACCCTTAACCAGCATCAGCTGACAAATCATTTCTCTGCCTCTCAAGGTAAATCATTCATGTTAACTGACCAACTGCATTTTGAGAACAAGCTCTGTCTACCTTAACAGTTTTCCCTCCCACTGCTAGGTGGGAAGTCCTCTCAGGATTTATGCAGGAGGTAGAGAGGATTCCTGAGAGTGAGGACACTCTGTGACTCGGGAGTGCCTGCACCATGAGTGTCTCTGCTCTGAGCCCCAGCAGATTTGTAGGCAGCATCTCTGGCTTCCTCCAAGTGGCCTCGGTGCTTGGCTTGCTTCTGCTGCTGCTCAAAGTGGTCCAGTTGTACCTGCACAGGCAATGGCTACTCAAGGCTTTCCAGCAATTTCCATCCCCACCCTTTCACTGGTTCTTTGGACATCAGGTATGAAGGGAAGAAGGAAAGGGAAGGTTGGTGGGAGAGCAGGGAGGATGGGGGATCTCAGAGACCGGCCATCAAGATCACAGGATGCAGCCCGCTGTATAAAATGCCAAGTACTTCATGAGACACACAGCTCAGGCTGAGATACCCTCCAATATTAGGGTGGTTCAACATGTCTGGCTGTTGCTCTGCTTTGTACTGATAGCCCCTCACTTGGAAGGCTGTGGTTGAGCCTACGTAGTCTCCTCCTCTTCAAGATGAGCACCTTCAATTGCCTCTGGTGTTCTCAAACAGCTTCTGAGTGATTCCCTGCATACTCACTCATGTATATTCTCTCCCAAGCTCAGAGATTGTCTGGGAACGCAGACATCAGTGAGATGGAAGCCTTGCACCTGTGGGTTTTTTAGCTTAGCAATGGCACATATCTCAGGAGCTGTCAGGTTCAGGAGGAGTTCACACTGCTGCGATGAGTGGGCAACTGCCCTCAGAAATTCCCCTCAAGGGAAGATTGAAGATGGGTAAATTACAAGCTGAAATCCTGAAGTTATACCATGTAAAGGGAAAAGGCTGTGTAGTATCCTCAAGTGAGATCACTGATGTTAGAATTTCCTGGGGGTCTGTTTAGCCCTCCTTTCTCCTTCCACACAACCTGTACTGTTAGCTACTTAGGTTCAAGGCACCATGACTTCACTGTATCACAGTGCTCAGCCCAAGAGCCAGGCACAGATTCTGAGATCTCCCAGGAAGAAGATGGTGTAGCAGACAGCATACTGGGAATGGATAGTACTGACTCCTTCTACTCTCAACCTGGGAAATAAGGCCCATAGACAAGCAGAAGGATATGTGGAGAGGCACTCAACAAAGGATTGTGCAATGGATGTTCTTAGAAGGAGATGGGGATGTAGTGCTTGTGTGTACTGCTGAGGATCCACCAAATGGCACTGTCAAATCCAGCTCAGGACCAGTCCCTGATGTAGCAAAACTGAGTGATAGCATAGATAGTCCATCAAACTGCTCCAAACCCTGAGCTGCTTCTGAACACTCTAGAACTATGTTGGTGTGCTTGTTCTGCGCTGGAAACTAATCTAGAGTCCCACTGCTTTATCTTTCCCTCAACAGCAGTTCCAAGGTGACCAGGAGCTACAGCAGGTTTTGAAGTGTGTGGAGAACTTTCCAAGCGCCTTTACTCGCTGGCTTTGGGGGAGCAAAGCTAGCCTTTCCATCTATGACCCTGACTACATGAAGGTGATTCTGGGGCGATCAGGTGAGAGTGACATGTAATTTGGAAGAGTTTGTGCCTTCTTCTTTGTAAATAGCGTGAGGCTGCCAAATTTCAGAGGAGTGTGGCACTCAGCCACTTCCTGACACCGTCTAGCTACCATTCTCCTTGGCCACAACCCAGTACAATACTCAGTTCTGAAATTTCAAGTCCCTCAGCCAAAACTCTTAATATTTCTTTGATATTTAATCAAATTAAGATGATAAGCCATGTAATTGTTCCAGGTCTGAAAAAGAAACCTCAAATTCATATTGGATTGAGTTTGAAATCTCTAATTGTTACCTTCCTGGAAACAGAGGATAATTAAGCCATAATCCACTGTAACTGTAACACACACACACACACACACACACACACACACACACACACACTTGTAATACTTGTCCTGCTTTTTACTTTGAGCACAAGGACTGTTTCTCACCAATCACCATCCAGCCCCAGAACGAGTCCAGCTACTGGTACATGAAACCTAGGAGACATGAGGAAATGAACAGTGACATAGAACAGTTTACCAACAGACAGTCATTAAAAGATCACAGAAGCCCATGACTTCAACCACCTTATTTAGCCCATTCCTTGTAAAGGCCATTGTTTCCATTTCAGATCCAAAGGCACTTGATACCTACAGATTCCTGGCTCCTTGGATTGGTATGTATGTCTAAATCAGAGTGGTGGTCTAGTCCCAATTAGATTTTGCAAGTGCTGAACAAAATGTGACCGACTGCCATTGTCATAATCTAACCCCAACCCTAAAGAAGTAGAAGCTCCACATCTGACCTTTCACTTCACCAAACAGTCCTATATGAACATAGTGTATGTCCCTCCTTGGTCAATCCCTTCCAACTCTTTTGCAATATTTTTTATAATGTATTTGTTCTTTTAAGTTTCATTTTACATTCCAACCACAGTCTCCCTCCCACTCCCGTTGCCTCCCCTGCAGCCCACTCGAAGTCTATTCCTCCTCACAGATAAGGGCTCCCATGAAAAGTCAACGAAGTCTAGCACAATAGGCTGAGGCAGGGTCAAACCCTTCTCTCATGCATTAAGGCTGAGCATGGCATCCCACCATAGAGAGTGGGCTACAACAAGCTAGCTCATGTACCGGGTTTATATCATGGTCCTGCTGCCAGGGGCCCCTCAGGTAGTCTAAGTTTCACAACTGTCTCCCACATACATAGGGGCTAATTCGGTCCCCTGGAGTCTCCACAGTGTTGGTCTAGAGTTCATGAATTTCCACTGGCTTGGTTCAGCTGTCTATCTGTATTTCCCCATCATGACCTTGACCTCCATTGCTCATATATTCCCTCCCCCCTCTCTAACTGGATTCTCAGGGCTCAGCCTGGTGCTTGGTTATGAATCTCTGCACCTGGTCCCATCAGTTACTGGAGGAAGACTCTATGATACTCTGTTGCAATTTTTATCTGACAGCTGTCATAATCACAGAATCCCACTAGCTAGAGTTTGTGTTCTGAACTGTACCAATTTTCAGACTTGTCATCCTCAGCACCACTTCATACCAAGTTTATCTAACTGTCTCTCTGATCCATCACACACACACACACACACACACACACACACACACACACACACACACACGTCTCTGGCCCAGGCTATGGTTTGCTCTTACTGAATGGACAGCCATGGTTCCAGCACCGGCGGATGCTAACCCCAGCCTTCCACTATGACATTCTGAAGCCATATGTGAAAACCATGGGCAACTCCGTCCAGTCAATGCTGGTGAGTTCATTTGACTTTCTTCTCCTCTGCTGCCCAGCTCTGCTGTCCTTTCTACATCAGGTGCTGCATCTGATACTGCTACAACTACCACAGCTCAGCAGCAGCAGCAGCATCTTCTTCTTTCTCCTCTTACTGCTCATACTCCCCCTCTCTCTTCTTTCTCTCTCTCAGTCTCACTCTTTGCCTACTCAGAGTGTACACCACAGGCTCCCCATGTGTACTCTACTATGAATATAGGTTCTTCATGCAGAGATGAAATAGGAATATTCCAGGTACCAGGATATGGCCATCCTTGCTCATTGTCCAAGGCAAAGAGTATCATGGTAGATAGGGATTCCAATTTCCTCTTCATATCCTCAACTTAAGAGAGACTGCCCAGGATGATACTGAGTCAGAGTTTCCCTTCAGTCTCAGTGCTTCTGCATTGACTTGAGTAAATGTGCAGGAAACAGGATGCCATATCCACATTGTCATAGTCAACCCTGACATACCACAAACATAAAACAGACTCTGGATACTGACCCAATTATTCCTAGCTATCTTTAATGAATACATAGTAATTAAACTCACTGGTGACCTTGTTAGAAATGCCCATAGTGGCTACTTGGACTTTCTTTTTTTTTTTTTTTTTGGTTTTACGAGACAAAGTTTCTCTGTATTGTTTTGGAGGCTGTCGGTCCAGCCTGGCCTCGAACTCACAGAGATCCGCCTGCCTCTGCCTCCCGAGTGCTGGGATTAAAGGCGTGCGCCACCACCGCCCGGCTACTTGGACTTTCTTATGATTGATACCTACCATTGTCTCAGGTTGGTCTCAGCTCTTCAAACCCTGGTGCATTGTCTTCTTTACCCCCTAAAACAGCACTGCTTGTTGATTAAAACATCTTAACTAGTTACAAACATTTAAAACTTGTTTCTTTATCTTATGGGTTTCTACATTTAATTTTAAAATGATTTACTAGAATATAGGTAGCCTTTCACAGTTTTTTTTTGCAATCTGTAGAACATGTTATCTAAATTGAATAACTTAGAACAGGGTAACCAAAAATACAGGGAAAGAATCCAGTCTATTGAGCACAAGTCCTCTGTGAAAATTAGGTCAATGTCCTCTTCCCATTGCAGGACAAATGGGAAAAGCTGGCTGGTCAGGACTCCTCTATTGAGATCTTTCAACACATCTCCTTGATGACCCTAGACACTGTCATGAAGTGTGCCTTTAGCCACAAGGGTAGCATCCAGGTGGATGGGTGAGTGACAACCCTTGAATTTCAGGGCATTTGGTCTTACCAACTGGTACAGCCTCATCTGACATGCAGGTAGGGCAGCTTGGATCTTGCCTCTATAAAAAAAAATTCTAGAGTATGACCCCAGAACCGGGTCAGTTCCTGACACAATCCAACCCTGACCCAACTACAGACTACTGATTCCTAACTGAGATTGATGTATAGATATTAATGCCACCTTCTGCAGTCTTAAAAATTACAAGGGCTATAAGAAAAATTAATGTTGTGCCTCAATGCTCCCTGTCTCTACCATACAAAAATCTCTCTCCAGAGTCCATCTATCTGCTGGTCAGATCTCTTCACAGTCTAATCTATTGTGTGTCTTCTTCCTCAGAAATTATAAGAACTACATCCAGGCCATTGGGGACCTGAGCAACCTATTTTATTCCCGTGTGAGGAACATGTTTCATCAGAATGACACCATCTACAGTCTGTCTTCCAATGGCCGCATGGCCAACGGTGCCTGTCAGCTCGCCCATGATCACACAGGTTCTGTCTGTACCTCATGACTCCATCATTTCCCAGGATTAGCTCAAAGGGTCTGGCTATTGAATTCAGAGGTAGATGTAGACCCTTCAGTGTCCCTGAGTCACACACTTGTGGATACTTTAACACTGCAACTGTTTAAGTTGGGTTGTCAGAATGCCAGGTATTATGTGGGTGTCATCATATTGGTAAAGTTTAGTGAAATCTGACCCAGTAGTTCAAGCAGAACTTCCTTGACCTGTCCTCTAGAAAGGAGATCTGGCCTGTATCAAATGGTACTAGTCTTCTAACCCTGCCCACTCCTTAGTTACTGATCTATACATAGCACATAGCTTTGGACTAGGAGACTCGTGGAGCTACACAATGTTACTGTAGCTCTCAAGTCTCTTAGATAACTGCTGTTCTGTACAGATGGAGTGATCAAGCTGAGAAAGGATCAACTGCAGGATGAGGAAGAGCTGGAGAAGGTCAAGAAGAAGAGACGTTTGGATTTTCTGGACATCCTCTTGTTTGCCAGGGTGGGTGTGTCACAGAGGCCTGTGTATCATAGAGAGTCTGCCTGGAGCACACAGCTCTGATGACACCTGTTGCCTCCCTCAGACGGAGAATGGGGATAGCTTGTCTGACAAGGACATACGTGCTGAGGTGGACACATTCATGTTTGAGGGACATGACACCACAGCCAGTGGAGTCTCCTGGATCTTCTATGCTCTGGCCACTCACCCTGAATACCAGCAGAGATGCAGGGAGGAAGTTCAGAGCCTCCTGGGAGATGGATCCTCCATTACCTGGTAAGAGTTCAAGAGGTGACAGAACCCTTATTCTTTGGGTATGGAGGAGCCCATGGTCTCCAGTCTACCTGACTTCAGAATGGACCTTGTTTCAGGAATCACCTGGACCAGATGCCCTACACTACCATGTGCATCAAGGAGTCCCTGAGGCTCTACCCACCTGTCCCAACCATTGTCAGAGAGCTCAGCACACCTGTCACCTTCCCTGATGGGCGCTCTTTACCCAAAGGTATGAGATTCCCTGGACTGTTCACCTAAAATCATTCCAGAGGTAAAAGATAATCAGAAGTCTGTGTGATTCAACAGTCCTGAATCCCTCTCGGTGTCCATTTCCTTTTAAGGAAATAAATTCTTCTTCCTCATAAAGTACATTTTTAATGTGGACATAAACCAAAATGACGTCCTATAAAGTTAAATGATCTCCAATTCTGCCACTTTGAATGTGCAGTTGTAAGTATCTCTTGTTTATCAGCTAATACTCCTTTTGAATCCATTCCTTATCCTGATACATCCATTCCAGTTTGGAAACACCAACATTCTTTGATTCTTACACTCCAAACTCAATGTAAATGCCCAAACTACACAATTCATAGTCACTCTCATTCTTCATAAGTCCTCACTGTCACATGTGTGTGTTTTCAAGTTGGAGCTGGAAACAGAACTGTATGTTTGTACATACAAGTGGAAACCAAAGGCCAACATTAGGTTCATTCCTTGGGTATTGTCCACCTTGATTTTTTAGTCGAGACGGTCCCTCACTAACCTGCAACTCACTTATTAGGCTGGATGTCCAGTGAGCTATAGGTACTTGGCTTCCCACACCTCACCAGCAGTACAATGACAATCCTGTACCACTGCACAAAGCTTATTTGCAGGTTCTGCAAATCAGACATAGGTCCCCGTGCTTGTACAAAAAGCACTTTACCACTTTATGTGTTTCTCCATCCCTAATTGTCACATCTTTTTATCACCCTCTACATTAGGTATAATTCATAGGAATTTTATTTATAAAGAACTACTGCCGGGCGGTGGTGGCGCACGCTTTTAATCCCAGCACTCGGGAGGCAGAGGCAGGCAGATCTCTGTGAGTTTGAGGCCGGGCTGGACCGATAGCCTCCAAAACAATACAGAGAAACCCTGTCTCATAAAAACCAAAAAAAATAACTACTATTTATATATAAACCAGTAAATACAGTATAAACAGTAAGTGCAATTGTATATATAAACACAGAGATATGTATATAAACAAACTCTATCCTTGGAAAATTCTTCACAAAGAAACCTTTGAATATGATATTATGACTTTATCTCTCAAATCCTATTTGCTGGGAGGTAAAGGACACATAAAAAATTAGATAGAGGCTAGGGAGATGTATTTCTTTCTTGGTCAAAACAAATGAAAGAGAGCATCAATCCCATGACATGGGTCATACATGGTCCAATTTCTAAAAAGCATGAGGTTGACAGCAGAGATGAAGTGATGACCAGATAATATACCCCTGCAATGTCAGGAAATTACCCTTTCCTCCACACCTCATTCTTTCAAAATCCTACTTGTGCCACATACTGTTTTGGTGATGACATATAACCCCGCTCTGAAACATCATTAACTCACCTGAAAAACCAGCCTAAAACAACTGGGGGATTATGATGGGGACTGAATATCTTTAGTTGAAATCCTTCATCAAATTTAAGCTCTAAGTTGATTCACTCCCAAAACAGGTTCATATCATTCTTGTTCTCTTTCTTTAACTCCATTTCCACATTCTTTCTTTATGCCTCAAGTCGATTTCCAAGTCACCCACATCTACCCAAACTGATGATCTGCAGGAATCAGACCTCTTGTGCAAGTATGTGCCCTGCTGTCTCAGGAACCAAGGATTCACACCCTGGGTATAACCATCTTCCATCCTATCCCTATCTGTCCCACAGGTGCCACAGTTGTACTCTCCATTTACGCACTCCACCACAACCCGAAGGTGTGGCCAAACCCAGAGGTAGGAGGCCCCACAGTAAGGCAGGGGAAGATCCCTCCACTCCAGACCAATTCTCCTGATGTCCCCACCTATAGGCGTCTTGTCCCTGGTGGGTTGAAAGCAGGGTTTTAACCCCTCCCTGTCCTGACTGAGTTGCTGTCTCCCTGCAGGTGTTTGACCCTTCCAGGTTTGCAGCAGATTCTCCCCGACACAGCCACTCATTCCTGCCCTTCTCGGGAGGAGCAAGGTGAGACATCGTGTGTGTATTGATAGAAGGCACTGTGGGACTCTTTGCAGCAAGACTTGATGTTTTTAACCTCCTGCACACATGACATGTCCAGGTATATCCTATTGGTGGATATGGTGGAAAGCTTCTAGGAGATGTGTCTGTGTACAAAGGGAGGGTAACATTTCAGAAGACACTATCAAGATATTAACCCGTTACTCTTCCCATTGACCAGCCAAATTTCTATGTCAGTGGATGCCACACACTTGCATGTGTTCTGATAGTTCCCTCACTTTACGGGCAGGACTTTAAGTTGATTTTCTTCCTGTGAATTTATCCTCAGGTGTTCAACATTTCAAGTTTCAGGACTCTTAAGTGTCATACATTTATCCCCAATTCAGTGTGGCTCACCACCCTTCCTCAATAGTTCTCTAATTGTAGAACCACTGTGGTGTGTGATAAGTTTGCTTGGGTGTCTGTCATACGCAATTGTCAAATCAGATATTTGAAGTGTTACAGTGAGTCTTTTGAAGAAAGTTTTAAGTCAGTCTTCATGGACTACCCATGTGCATTCTCCCCCACCACAATCACTGAACAGTGTTGATATTTCACATCCCTCTTAAAATTAATAAATTGCCAAACTTTGACACACTATGTGTGTGTGTGTGTGTGTGTGTGTTCTTTGAAGTTACACTTAGAGGCTGTATAACCCAACTTCAGACAAAGAAAATTAAACAGGAGGAGAATAACTGTATTTGAGTAAACTCTCTGTTTTATAGCACATAGTATTTACTAAGGTTCCTGGTGAGTGAAATATAAAACACTTTTGAAATAGCTACTGAAAAATATGAAGGCTCTCCAATGACTTCTAGGAAAATCCTAAAAGGATTGCCTGAGACCCAACTCACAGTTAGCTTTAAAGGCAGTGCAGAGCCAGGCATTGGTGGTGCATGCCTTTAATCCTAGCACTCAGGAGGCAGAGGCAGGGGGATCTCTGTGAGTTCAAGGCCAGCATGGTCTACAGAGTGAGTGCCAGGATAGGCTCCAAAGCTATACAGAGAAACCCTGTCTCGAAGAAAAAAAAAAGGCAGTGCAGAAGTGGGTTTTTCTGAGCCTATATACTTCATGAATTCTTCAAGTGGCAAACAGCTTTCACAGAACAGGCTTTAAGCCAGACACAGTCTGTCTAGCATTTGGTGAACTTTACAATTGAAAGTTCCCACCTCCACTCACTGCAAATCAGGTCACTGGCACTAGATGACCGTAGAGCATTGGGAAACTCAGCTAAAGTTGGAATGAACCATGCAGCTGCTGGCGTTTTTCTGAGGCAGCCTCAGGCATGCCTAGAGCTCATGACTCCTCTACCTCAACTTTCCAAGTTCTAACTTCAGGAAGAGTGCACCACACTTTGATCTGTTCAGAAGATTTTTAAATTTTTTGTTGAATTTAACTCCATTTCTTCATGCCTTAAATTCAAATGGATTAAACTTTAGAGCCAATAAAAGTAATTATGGCAAATATAAAATAAAATATAAAGGCACTCCTATGTGTCAGGCATTATGCTAGATAAAATAGCAGGAATTAATGACAGTCTTCTATCCCAGCCTTTAGTGCCAAACTGTATTCTCAAATACAAATACATCCATGGTCAAAATATATTCTCTCTCCATTCTTTCACTTATTAAGCAGTTTGCTGAATCCTCTGTGTTTCAGACGTCATCCCATGCTCTGACTGTGGCATGTCCTTGAATATAGCACTAATGGTGCCTTGGGTGCTCCTGAAGGACAGGGACAGTCAGCAAAAAAAAAATGAAAGCCAGATGCACATTAGCCTGAGAATTGGGAGTATGCAGCCTTAGAGGGAGGAGCCATTCAAAAACAAGTCAACAGCTTGGTGTGAAGTAGGAAGTGAGATGGGCAGGAAATTGGTGAGGGCAGCAGTCAGTAGAGGGTGTGGCTGTAGCTAGGCACCTGAATACAGCCCCACGTGATGGAGGTACAGAGGGTCATTGGAGAGGGAGAGTCAGGGAGACAGAACAGTCCAGGACAGCCCAGGGCAGAAAACTGGAGAAGGAACAAGGGACATTTCTGAAGTACGGTTAGAAAGCTACAGATGTTGGTAAAGGAGGTAGACACACCCTAAGTAGGAGGCAAATGGGACAGCAATAGAGGATCCTCTACACAATGACCTGTAGGAACTTTCCTACTGAAAATGACTCCACTCTTTGTAACCCATGTCCTAGATCTCCCTGGAAGGAGTAAGCTAAGCAATGATTCACAAGTTTGACCTCTAATCCTTAGAATACTGGCCTTACAGATTAAATAACTCCAAAACAGCTAGTGTCAAATAGCCTTGAAAAATGTAGAGGCTGAATCAAAAGTCAGGAGAGCCAAGGTCTCGGGTAGAAATATGTGTGGCATCTAATGAAAGAGGTTAGACTGGACATGTGAAGGTAAGCCCTGAGTGCTGTTCTAAGCTATTTCAGGAGCTCTTCCCTGCCTAGGTCAGAGGTTATTGAGTCTTATTGTCCTTTTCTGGCCCAGGAACTGCATTGGGAAGCAGTTTGCTATGAATGAGCTGAAAGTGGTTGTGGCTCTGACTCTGCTCCGCTTTGAGCTGCTGCCTGATCCAACCAGGGTTCCCATCCCCATATCTCGACTTGTGTTGAAATCCAAGAATGGGATCCACCTACATCTCAAGAAGATCCACTGATTCTGGTATGGACACAGACAGACTCTATGAGTGTACTGCCTGACATTCCAGCTTCATGTCATCTGTGCCTTTCACTATCTTGCTTTCTATCTGCTCTTCTTACATCACCCCTATTTGCTCCCCTGCCTCCTGTCCTCTGTCTGTCTGTATCTCTCTCTCCCACTCCTTCCTTCCTCTTGATCCCCTATTTGTCTTTCTGTCTCCTACTACCTACATATGATCCCTAGTCTCCTCTGTCCTCTAGCCTCCTCTCTTTTCCTCTTATCTTTCTGTCATCTTATTTTTCCCTACATGACTTCTTCTTTACACAAATAATCAACTGTCATAACCTTGGTTGTCCAAAATGACAGGTTATTATCTTACAGCTCTGGATCTCAGAAATCTGAAATGGCTGCCACTGACAGAAGACCTAGTTGATGGTGTGGCCAATCTTCCTCTGCAGAGTTCTCTGGAGAGTCCTCATCCTCCCCTTCTCAGAATAAACCATCATTTCTTGACACTGGACTCTTACACCTGCTTTAAAGCCAGAATCTTCCAAAACCCTCTCTCCTAATTTCCTTAACTTTTCCAAAGACTCTTGTGACATCATCAAGCCCACTAAAAAGTCCAATGTAATTCTCCCATATCAATATCTCTTACTCAATCTAACTTAGTATGACATGTTTAATTATGAGAAAACATTCATGGTCTCCAAAACCTTAAGGGTTAAACATCATTGTGAAGTCTTGCTTTGTATTTACATGACTGTCGCTGGATCAGTTTGTCTACATCTCTCCTGCAAGTCTCTTTACCTGACTGACCCTCACACAAGTTTCTCCATCTTCCCTGCTTTCAGCAATAAAGTTTGTTTGTCATGATCTCACATTGCTTCAAACTGCTCCTGGATCAGGATCCATGATGCCATGGACAGACTTCCCTAGTATGTCATATCTGCTTCCTGGAACAGGCTTCTCTTGAAGCCACTGTCTGCAACCAGGATCTCCTTCCTAGTCTCCTAACCTACCAGGTTGATGGGATGGCCAGTTCAGAGGAGTGCAGGAGAGGACAGACCGGACACTCAATGCCTGAACAATGGGAGAGCTGGGCAGGAACAAGAGCCCAAATCATCAAGCACAGAATGTTCAAGCAATACAGAAAGTCTCATGCTTGTCGTGTTCAGACAAAACATCAAAGTGAGAGCACAGATCTCTGAGTGCCCAGCCACAGACAAATACTCTAAACACAGGGTTCCAAATGGGATGGAATGTGTAACCAGAAAGTGATTCTACAGCCTGGAAGCAATGAGCAAGAGCAGCTCATTTCACTGCCATGTGCATTCCCCCTCCATGATGCACACAAACTGACACTCACGTGTGCACTGTATACACGCCCACAGCACCTTCCACCCACACATATGCATTAGTGTGCCTAAGGTCAATGGGGCCTCAGGGTGTGTTTGAAATGTCCTACAGATGAAACAGTGGCCTTTTGTGATGGCCACCACTTGCAGTGTACACTGTCCCTCACCCAGGAAGTCATAATACACACACACATACATAAGTGAATACTCTAGTACTCAGGAGAACACACACAAACATCAGAGTCAGATTTCCTGGTTTTATTCCCACTGATACAAATACTCAAGAAGAACTCATATTAATGATGGAGTTTTGAACAAAAAAATCAGAGTCAGGAAGCCTCAGTTCAAGTTCTTCCTATATTAGCGTCTCTCAGGATCCTTCCCTTACTATTAAAATGCAGTCACAATTTCCTCCTATCAGAGAAGAGGCATCTCCATGCTGTCCATGCCTCACAATGGCCAAGGGTCCAAAGATCTAAAATGATATAGTTTAGATTCAGGTGGTAACTATTGAAACCTTACTACATTTGTTTATAGTGCAACCTATGTGGTGCCAGGCCAAAAAGGGCAAGTTAGTTGCATTATGAGCCATAGCCAACAGGCACACTATACTGAGACCTTTGCATCCCAGTTTCAAGTTTACAAGGAGATGTAGGTCTTGACATGGCTTTATAGGAGTTAGCAAGTGTCCTAGAGCAGATCTGCCAAGATGTATCCTTATCCCAAGTAGGAAATAATCAGTAGTAAGAAAGTATATGTCATATAACCCAGCATATCATAAGGCAGTTGTTATCACCCTTCCTCATGCTGGGACCCTTTAATACAGTTCCTTAAGTTGTGGTGACCCCAAACCATAGAATTATTTTCATTCCTACTTCATATCTGTAATTTTGCTACTGTTATGAATCATAATACAAACATCTGTATTTTTTGATGGTCTTAGATGACCAATGTGAAAGTGTCTTTCAACACCCCCACCCCTTAATCCCTAGAGACTGCTGCTCTAGAAACTTCACCATGTCTCAGGGATAAAATTCCTAGCTCCTGCCTCTGCTCATAGTTTCTAGTGCTCTTCCTTCCCCATGGGATTTTCCTGGATTTTCAACTCCTAGTGACCTTAGATCTTGAACCCTAGAGACATAGGCACCCATAGCCTTGAGGCAGCTACTGCAGGGACTGCCAGGGAAATATCTCTAAGTCATCATGTGTGCCCCACCCTGAGCTCCACCCCAAAAGTCCTTCTTTGTACATCCATGCCTTATGGGAAGGAGTTTCCTTTCTCCCAGGAAGTTCACCTTTAACTCCACTGTGCCACCTTCCCTAGAAATACTGTGAATGCCCAGAGCACTGTATGACTATGACACATGACTCTCAAGAATGACAAGAGTGTCACAGAGACATGTCCCAAGAAAAAAATGACACCAATAAAGACACTTTTCATATTCTTTTACTTTAGTGGTATGAGTTTGCTAATGGGGAAGTCCTGTGTGTATATAAATAAAGCACTGTTGGCCAATAGGGAAGCAAGAAAGGTGGGACTAGGAGTCTAGGAGGATTCTGGGAAATGTAGTGAAGGGGGTTGTCGAGATGTGATCCCTGGAGGAGAGGATACAAGTCTGGCATTCTCAGAAAGATAAGTCCTTATAAAAATATATATATTGGTGATTATGGGTCAATAATTAAGTCAGAGCTAGACAATGAGAAACAATAGTAAATGGCCAACAGCTTCATAATTAATATAGCATCCTGTGTGTTATTTGGGGGCTGCAACTGCAGCAGGGTCCAGGCAGTTGGCAGGGAAGACTACATGTTACAGTTTTCTTTAAGATTTAATCTTTATTTTTTACAGATTTAGTCTAAACAAGTTTTCTTTATGTTCATTATATTCCAAATACACACAAAGGTAGCTAAAGAAATGCATGTCAATGAATGGCCACCTTCTATCAAGTCATCCCTCTTTCATATCCCTCTTTCACAAATCTCAAGACAACATTTGCATTGTCTTCAGTGATGTTTTTCAAGGTTTGAAATGTATGGTTCTGGTTTTTATTTGATTGTTTTAGAAGACATACAGCTATGAGAAATAAATGATTTTTCTCAAGACAGCCAGATGTTCAACTAATTTTATAGAGTGAAGGAATGAACTCCAGAGTCCAGGCATTGAGTCATTAGACACACATGTTCACAAGGGACTGGCTTTCATGACACTGTCAGTGCCAATTTCACATCTGTAAGCCCCACAAAGCAGGGACCCATGATGACTCCACATTCAATATAGGAGGGCAGTGTCCCAGGAAAAGCCACAGCCTGTGCTGTCTATGCCACACTCTCTGAAAATCTATTTCCTAGAGCCTAGTGGCTTCAGGTGGAGGTGGATGCCATTTTTGGAGCGCAGGACCAGCTGGGGAAGCTTGATGGGCAGCTTTGAGGGATCTAGGGAGAATTCAAAGCGCAGCAAACAAAGGGCTGTGACCACCTTCATCTCGTTCATGGCAAACTGCTGCCCAATGCAGTTCCTGTAGGAAGCAGCACAAAGAGGCATCATGCTGTTTTTAGAGGCCCACAAAAAAACTATTTATGAATGCATAAGATATGATTGATTTGTTGACCTTGGCTTAAAAGGCAAAACTTAGGAACATGGTAAAGGACCGCATTGGGAATTCACCATTGCAAGTTCTCGCTTGCTGTCTCTCACAGAAGGGAACACCTACCCCACTCATTTCCCAGGAAAAGGTAAAATAGCAAAAGACCCCCATTGTCACAGAACAACACTCCATAATGATGCCTCCCCAATGGTGGCCTTCACTTGAGGACCTGAGAGTGTTGTCTTTCTCCCTACCTGGGCCCCGCAGAGAAAGGCATGAAGGCAAAGGGGTGGCGTCCAGTCACATTCTCAGGAGAAAAGCGCAGTGGGTCAAAGACCTAAGAGACAGGGCTTTCTTAAATACTCACCAAACCCTGGCATGGGTAACCCCACAGCCCACACCCATCTGCCCTCTATGCCCAGAGATGCAGTACCTCTGGGTCAGGCCACACAGCACTGTTCCTGTGGAGGGCGTAGATGTGCATAGAGATCAGGCTGCCTGTAAGCAGAAAGGAGACCTGATGACAAGGTGTCCTGAGGCAGCCAGACCCACCTCCATGTGAGGCCTGAATTCCCTGATGTCCCCCTGTCTGGGCCACTAGCCTCTGCCTGTGCACTGCCAGTGACACTGAGCTCCTGGTCACATTCAAAGTAGTTTAATCATCATAATCAATATCTCCAGTAGCCAGGTACTAAGATTAATACCTAACCAAGACATCTGTGGAATGAAAACAAAGAACACTGGGCCCACCCCACCACAAAGTGGGATAGGCAGGGGCTGTTTATTATAGCATTTTGACCCTCAATTAGCTAACATCAAGAAGTTATTATGCTATTAATAATTAGAGACACCCTTCATTTGATGCTTCCTACATGTCAGACTCAGATCTGAACATTTTACAAAGCCACAACACAGAGTTGGGCATGTTGGACATGCATTGCATCATAGTCTATGTGAATAATCTCCCAAAGTCATCCAGAGTGCAATCACATAAGGTGTGTATAAAAACCCTGAATGTCTTTGTCTCTTTTTAATTCTGACTATGAAAAATATATTCTTTCCTTCCCTCTATTTTCCTGTTTGTTTTATTTTATCCATATCATTAAAATTTGCTTGTTAAGTAGCATCATAGTAGAATGATTTGATATAGTTTTAAACAGAAGAAAAAGTGCTCATTTTCAGATTACAAGAAGCCCTCTCCTGAGAACAATGCACCAACTGTACCCAGTGATTAGCCATGTCTGGATCCTACTGCACTAGTGGTCAAAAAGACAAGCCAACTTTCATAATCACTGCCTCAAAGGAATAACTCATGTTGGATTCTTTTGGGAGACAAAAAAAAATAATCCTTGCTACTTCAATCCACAGAAAAATGAATCCACATAATCACCCTGAAACCTAGGGGGGAAATGAACTTTATACACTCATATTTATATTTATACCCTCAGTCATATTTTACAGAAGAAGAGGTAGATGTTTCAGGCAGAGACAAGTTTACTCTGTGAGGCTGGTGCTCAGGCCCAGGGCTCAGAACACAAATCCTAAACTCTCTCCATCTGATGTAAAGATTGCCCGGTGGCACAGGCAATATCAGAGAGCAATCGAGGGGACTTTCATTCCACCCTCAGTGTTTCCCCCAACCCACCTGCAGGTAGAGAGCGGCCATCCACAAAGGTGACTGGCTTGTTGAGCTGGCGGAACACCTGGGGCACAGGCGGGTAGAGGCGGAAGCACTCCTTAATACACATAGTCAAGTAGGTCATCTTGGCCAGATCATCCCTGCCAGGAACACAGCACACGTGGGAACTGGGAACAGTGGGATCTCAGGGCACTATTCCCAACTCCACCATGGTATCATTTTACTTTCTGTCATCACCACACTTCCAACAGAGGAGTCAAGAGGGTTTCAAGTGCCTAAGCATAATATAACACTGAGTGGCCATACAAACCTAGGAATCTATGTGCATGATTATCTAGCTAGAGAGAATAGCTCTCTTCACCTGAGTTTTAACCTTCTTTATAAAGTCAATTCAAGCCCCACCCCTCCTCACCCCTCTACCCTCAACATCCTTGCCACTTGGTGTTACTCCATCCTACACCCTTCCCTGAATTTCAATTATGTGAGTCTGACTTTCTGACAACTCCCCAAGAGCAGCAAATTGTCACCTCTGCTCTTCACACTTGCAATGCACTCCAGACAGCCCCATGCACATCGCTGGACCCTTTGGAATATTTCCAGCATCCAGCAAGTAAGCATTAGTTATGGAGACTCGTCCTTCAAATCTCTAACACTGGAATTATAGATCAGTCTCCCTCAGGAGAACAGGACTCTAGACAAGACAGGTAATTTCCTCGATCCCTGCTGTGTGCCCTGCCCATGATGGGGGAAGATCAGGAACTAGGTGGGACAAAGTGACTGTCAGGCTACAAAGGCCTAAGAGGAGGAAGCAACAAAGGAGACCTGGGTGGAACTCTCAGGGACCACTCTGAAACAGTAGCTGGTGTGGTCACATTCAGGACTTCAGACTTGAGCAGAGGAACTAGGAAGGACACACAGAAGTTTTTAAGTATTGACATTTAGGATCTGTCTCCTCCACCATATGAGAGATGCAGAGTCTAGGACCTATTGTGCTGCCATCCAAAGGCAAGTGGCAAGTGGCAAGAGACTGGCCTTTTCCCATCTGTCCTCTCACTGCCATCTCCCACTTTCCCCTCCATCCCAGCCCTCTCTGCTCCATCCAGAGGCCCAGTAGGGATTCATGTTCTATTGTTAGGAAATTCAGCCTCTGTTGACAACTTTATGTGACACTGAAAAGCATCCATTTGGGGAGACTGGTGGGAGGGCTACATCTATAGTTAACCCCCAAGAAAGCTACACAACCAAAAGAAAGGCAACTTCACCTCATTTCCAGAACAGGTGTGGGTTGTCCTTGGCAGGCACTGGCAGGATAGTCACAACCCCTCCATGGGCTGAGCAACAAGGGTCAAGCTCACTCTCAGATTCACTTACCACTGGAAGGAGTCCTGGTCTCCGAGGATCTCACGGACCTCCTCCCTACATCGCTGCTGGTGCTCAGGATAAAGGGCCATGCAGTAGAGAAACCAAGAGATACCACTAGTGGTAGTATCATGGCCTTCAAACATGAATGTGTCCACTTCAGCCCTGAGATCTGCATCCGACAACTTGATCCCACTTTCATCCTGAGAAAAGGCACAGTGGGACAGCTAAATGTCTTTGAGCTTAGGCTAAGAAGAATGTCCAAGAGGAGCTGTCAGATGCAGATCTGAGGAAACATATGGACACTTGTTGGTAAACTTGGAGTCTTCCTCCAACTTCCTCTATTCCTTCCAATCCCAGCCTATATGCTTCCCATTCATGAGACCCTCCCTAAACCCTCTGGATACATAACTTGTAACTTTACTCAGCCCCAATAATGACACCGCTTCTAGCTGGCAAAGAAATACATCTTTATCACCACCTACCTACTCCCTCCCCCAACCCAGCCGCTATACTATACATAGATGTCTGGCCATGCCAGATCTTTCTTATCTCTGCACTATAACACAGGAATTGATTCAGGATAGGCACTGAGTTTTGTGGAATAGAGAAAGAAAGGGGAGGAGAAGGGGGGGAAGAAAGGAGAGACAGGGGGGGGGACAGGAGTAAAGGAAAGAAAGAAAATGAAATCTAAACTCTAAGGTTCTGTACTGCCAAGATTTTTAAGGATCTTGGAAGTCTAGAAATGTCTCCAAGCTGCTACCAAGTGACCCAGGCTGCCAGCTCCCTAATGTCACAGCCCAACCACACACAAGCTGCATATTTTTACCTTTGTTGATTTGTGCCATGGGCAAAAATCATGGGCAGTAGATTATGTTTGCTGAGCAAGGAGCCTGCTTTAGGAGACTCTAAAGACCTTCCTGAGACCAGCTGTCAGATAGGGTGGTCTGCATGCACTTACCCGAGCACCCAGGAGAATGTCCAGGAAGTCCAGATGCCTCCGCTGCTGGATCTTTTTTTTGCTCCTTCTCATCCTGCAGGGCTGCCTTCCGCTGCCTGATGACCTGATCTGGACCAAGAGTGTAGGTGTCACTGCCTACTTTGGCCCTGGATCAGGATGGGTGCAAAGGATCCCAGAGGAAAAACCAAAGTTTCCTAGTTGGCATGAGGTGGCAGGGGGAGAGGGGGTTTGAAGGAAAGGCCCACCTGTATGGTCATGGGCTGTCTGGCAGGCCCGTAGGAAGCGGCGGCCATGTGGAGTGCGCCAGTAAATGAAGTCATTATGGTACTGGAAGGATTCAATGCGCTGCTGTGTCAGCAATGTGAGCTCACTGACTGCCAGGTAATAGCTGCTGTCTCTATACAGAAGAAGGTAGAGGGAGGGGAAGAGGCCTGAGGCTTTCTTTTAAAAGTCCCACCCAAAATACTTCCTGTTGCTCTTCTTGTCTCCTTAAGCCTCCTCACTAACACCTCATGTATCTTCCACCACAAGTAGGGTCTGGGCAAATCAAGGCAGGACTTCTCCAGCCAGAGATCAGGCACCCTTCCAGCTCCCTTATCTGGGTAGAGGTGTCACTGACCTGTGGCCTAGGCCACTGTCTCCTTTGCCAAAGGTGCACTTCATGAGAGTGTCCAGCGCCATGTGGCCTACGTCACAGAAGATGTCGAAGCTTTTATTTTCACTAGCCTTTTTCTCCCACTTGTCCTGGAATTCAGAGAGAGAGAGAGAGAGAGAGAGGAGGTAATGTGAGAAAGAGCTGGGCTTCCTGGAAGCAGTTAGGCTAACTACAGATCTTCACTTTCCCTCCTCCTCTCTAAATCCATACCCCCAGACTCATCCCCAGCTCTGTAGCAAACAACCTGCTGTGGCCTCCCCTATTCCCCCCACCCCCCACACCACCCACCCCCACACCCCCACACCCAACCCGGCATTCTCCAGAGGATCACACAAATCTCTTCCAAACTTCTCTCACCCAACTCATGGCTTTATTCTAGTCCCCAGCTCTAGCAGGCACTCCCAGGGAACCTGCCAGTGAAGTATGTAGGCCAAAGAAGGTACATGAGCTTCAGGTCTTCACTCTCACACCTCTCCTCCAAATCCAATACACCAGTCTCATCCCCAGAATTGTAGCAGACTCCCTGTTGGTACCTCTCCTCACTCTTGGCCATATTCCCAGGGGACTAAAACACATCCTGGTGGAACACCCTGGTTTCCTCCCTCCTGTGGACCCCTCACTCCTCCCAGGTGTTCTCCATTCCTTAGCTCCCAATACCTAGAAACACATTTTATCCATGGCAACACCTATCAGGATCTGAGAAGAATTCCCTACCAGATAACACACAGGCATCACACCTTTCTGAGAACCAGAGAGGGCAACAGAAACCAAGGAACAAAGCATCCACCCAACAAAGACAAAACCAGATATCAGCACTTGGAATTACAATCTTCCCAAATGCAGATTTCTAGAAGCCAGAGTGAAAACACAATCAATAACATCCACGACAATATGTTTCCACTAGAGCCCAGCAACCCTATCACAGCAAGCCCTGAGAATTGCAACATAGCTGAAGCACAAGATAAAGACCATAAAATAGCATTTTTGAATATGATAGAAGTCCTTAAAGAGGAAATTAATAAATCCCTTAACAAAATCTATGAAAGCATAAGCAAACAGTGGGAAAAATGAACAAAACCATTCAAGACCTGAAAGTAGAAATAGAATGAATAAAGAAAATCCAAACTATGGGAAATCTGGAAATGAAAAATTTAGGAATTCCAACAGTAACCTTAGAGGCAAGAGTTACCAACAGAATACAAGAGATAGAAGAGAGAATCTCAGCCATTTGAGACAAGATAGAAGAAATAAATACCTCAGACAAATAAAATATTTTTAAAACTCCTAGCACAAAACATCCAAGAAATCTGGTACACTATGAAAAGTCTAAACTTAAGAATGATAGGAATAAAAGAAGGAGAAGAATCTCAACTCAAAGGCACAGAAAACATTCTCAAGTCATAGAAGAAAATTTCCCTAACCTTAAAAAGGAGATGCCTATGAAGATACAAGAAGCTTACAGAACACCAAATAGATTGGACCCGAAATGAAATTTCCCTCAGCGCATAATAATCAAAACACTAAACATACAGAAGAAAGAAAAATATTAGAAGCTGCAAGAGGAAAAGGTCAAGTAATATATAAAGGCAGACCTATGAGAATTACACCTGACTTCTCAGTGAAGACTCTAAAAGCCAGAACGATCTGGATAGATGTTTTAAGAACTCTAAAGACCATAGATATCGCCTCTGAATACTATATCCAGCAAAACTTTCAATCACACTAGGTAGAGAAAACAAGACATTGTGTGATAAACCAAATTTAAGCAATGTCTATTTACAAATCTAGGCCCACAGAAGGTACACAAGGAAAACTTCAGTCTCAAGAGGTGTATCACACCTGGAAAAACACAAGGAGTAAATAATCCCAATAATCAAATCTAAAGAGGGAGAACACACACACACACACACACACACACACACACCCCACAAGAAAATAACAGGAATCAACAAACACTGCTCATTGACAACTCCCAACATCCATGTTCTCAATTCTCCAACAAAAAGACACACACACTAGCAGAACAGATGCAAAAACAGAGCCCATCCTTCTGCCCCATACAAGAAACACACCACAACATCGAGGATAGACATTACCTCAGGGTAAAGGGTTGGAAAAATATATCCCAAACAAATGGACATAAGAAACAAACAGGTGAAGCCATTTTAATATTTGAAAAAAATAGACTTCAAAGCGAAACCAACCAGAAGAGACAGAGAAAGGCATTCTATACCCATCAGAGAAAAAATACACTAACAGGACCTTTCAATTCTTAGCATTATGCACCAAACATAAGGGCACTCACGTTTGTAAAAGAAACACTACTACAGCTTAAATCACATATTGACCCTCATATCCTGATAGTAGGAGGCTTCAATACCCCACTCTCACTAACATACAGGTGATCCAGACAAAAACAAAACAGAGAAATGCTGGAGCTAACTGTAGTTATAAAGCAAATGGACCTAACAGACATTTACAGAACATTTTACCCAAAACAAAAGAATGGACCTTTTTCTCAGCACCTCATAGACCATTCTCTAAAATAACACATACTCAGACACAAAGCAATTCTCAACAAATACAAAAAAAATTGAGTAACCCCCCCGCATCCTATCAGACCACCACAGACTAAAGCTGAATATCAACAAAAGAAAGTTTATAAACTCATAGAAACAGAACAACACACTACTGAAAGAACATACCAGAACTTTTGGGAGCAATGAAGGCAGTTTTAAGAGGCAAGTTCATAACACTAACTGCTTACATTAAAAAAATTGGAGAGATTCCATGCTAATAACTTAAAAGCACACATGAAAAGCTCTAGGACAAAATGAAGAAATCCACCAAAAAGTATAGAAGGCAAGAAATAATCAAACTCAGGAATGAAGTGAATAAAATACAAACAAAATATACAAGAAATCAATGAAGCAAAGAGTTGGTTCTTTGAAAAAAATCAAGGTTGACAAATCCTTATCCCAGTGGTTCTCAACTTATCCAAAATAACCAAAAGGCAGAGAGAGAATATCCAAATTAACAAAATTAGAGCTGAAGGGGGCATAACAATAGACACCAAGAAAATACAGAGGATCATGAGAATATACTTTAATTTTTGGCACATTGTAGCAGGCATAACGAGGACAGGGCTTCAGGGACCCTCTCCAAGGGAGAGCACCACTTGCCTTCATCTAAGGCAGATGGGGATGGGTACAGAAGGCTGATCCAACAGCCCACAGTTCCAGGAGCCTGCCACAGGGAGGGTACTTACCAGCATGATACGTGTGGATTCAGCAAATAAGGCCACATAAGGCTTCAGCACATCATAATGGAAGCCAGGTGTGAGCAGCTTGCGGTGCTGGAACCATTTGGGCCCATCGAGAACCAGTAAGCCTTTCCCTGAGAAGAGAAGGAAGATGGAGGCTGTGGAGTCTATGCAATCCCTGCTCTACCCATGATATCTGGGACCAATCTCAGCCTCTGCCACTTCCAAACCTGGAACACCCTGTGGGAAGGTACTACAAAATTAGTATAGACCTCTGGTCCCCACTTGTCAGGGCCTGCCAACATGGAGAAATATCAGATATTAACTAATTCAATAGTCTAGACTGTTACCTTCCTGCCAACCAGCCCTTTCTTAGCTCCCAGAAGGCTTCCAAGGGTAAATATATAAATGAACTTTGGATTAGCATATGGCCTTGGATCAAGAAGACTTAGTGGAAGCTGGAGAGATGGGTCATTGATCTTACAGAACACCTGGGGTCACTTCCCAGAACACGTATGACAGCTCACAACTACATATAATTCCAGTTCTAGGGGATCCAACATAGGTACAAGTGGCATATATCTACACAAACAAACATAGAGATAAATAAAGGTAAAACTAAGAATAAGGCAAGGTGTAGTAGTGTACACCATTAACTCCAGCACTCATTTGGAAGTAAGAGGCAGGCAGATCTGAGTTCAAAGCCAGCCTTGTCTACACAGAGAGCTCTAGGCCAACTAAGGCAACATAGTGAGACCCTGTCTCAAAATCAATTAATTAATCAACTAATTAATTAATTAAAAGAAGCATTTGACCCAGTGGCTCCCTTCAATTTGAACACCAGTCCATATACTGACAGCCAACATTGGCACATCTTCCCTTACTAGCCTCATCTACTAATGAAAATCTGCCTTTCAGCCATTCAGACATCTTACAGCTGCCACAGTCCTATGACTATTACACCTTTTCTCAGACCCTTCTTCCAGAAAACACATCATTATAATATCCTATAGGATCAACTTTAGGGTTGCTTCCTTTAAGAAGTTTATTCTTCAAGCACACATTGCTTTGCCTCTGCTTGGGAGGGAGGGAAGATGAATGTCCAGCAAGGGAAAGTTTCTAACTCCTGCAACAGGCTCCCCTGCTTCCCCACAGAGATGCTAAGCTTAGGGCAGGCACTCAGGAGCCAGGCAGTTCACTGGAGAGATAACCAGCTGAGTGTGATAGGGAAGATTCTGGTCACTTAGCACAAGGAAAGGAAGGGAACTTACAGAAAGATAGATGCTCACTTACCAAGCCACTGGAGGAGGAAGTCATACACATCTGGAGCCTTTGGGTCTGTAGAACAAATGGATGTCAATCAAGGTGAAACAGGCTATTCCAAGATGGGGTATAGCGATGAATGAGGTAAGGACTTGGTTATTCTCATCTCAGATTTTATACACAGGCCTTGATCTTCCCCAACTTGGTCCCTGAGCCCATTAGTCCCAGGAAATCCCACCCTCTCTCCAGAGAACCTCACCCCCACGACTGTATACAGCTTTGGCATAGTCAGGATCATAGATGTTCAAGAACCCAACGAATTGTCCAAGCCAGAGAGGATGGGCATAAGGGAACTGTTGGGACCAGGATACCACCGTGTCCAGGCTCCCTAACTTCTGGATCTGAAACAATAACAGAAGACAAGGACCACTCAGGAAACCAGTGTGGCCAGCAGATGCTGCCCAGACAGACCCTAGGACCCCCATCCCTCCTCCTGTATCTTGTCTCCTGCACACTTCTAATGCCCTCTCCAGTCCCAGAGCCGCTGTTCTAATTCCAGGAACATTTGTTACACGCAAGTCACTCCTTTCAGAGACCCTGGAGATTATCCTACTTCATTTCCAACCATGGCTACACTGTCTCTGCCGTTCTGGCTCCCAGCCACATGTCGTCTCTGGTATAATCTCCCTATAGAGCTATCTTTATGAATCCTGAATTCAACCCAAAATGTTGCCTTAAAAGTGCAAAGTTAGGGAGCAAAGATTATTTAAAAAATCATCTTTACCTATAATTACAGGGACATTTGTGGTGCCCCTCCTCCTTTCTAGCTGGAAATCCCTGGACTTCTCCCTTCTGTTGTGTCTCTCCTCTTTTCTGCCTGCCCTTGACGTCACTAAGGTAACAGCATCTTGTCCTGACTCCATTTTGTATCCACTTAGATAATTTTCAAGGCTCTATCCTCCCAATAGCTGTGTCTGTTTTGGCAAAACATTCAGGATTTCCATGATTTGGACCATGGTCCAGGTGTATTAATGAAAATAATTATTGTTTAAGGAAAATATAATTGTCATGTTATGTCTAAATAACTACTATGCTCAGATGAAACAAATGATGCAAGTTTACTCTGACCCTCATCTAGCACTGATGTCATTGGGCTTTTGTCTTTAAAAATGCTGTACCCCAGGCAGGCTTGGTGGTGCACGCCTTTAATCCCAGCACTGGGGAGACAGAGGCAGGCAGATCTCTGAGTTTAAGGCCAGCCTGGTCTACAAAGCGAGTTCCAGGCCAGGCTCCAAAGCAATACAGAGAAACCCTGTCTCAAAAGTAAAAATGCTTACCCTTGAGCTTCAGCACCAAGAGAGCTCTGCAGCATTAGCCCACTCATGGTTGATGGTCAGAATTAAAGAACTCTGATACTCTTAATTGTCTTAATCTGTGTGGTTGTCTGCATCGTTCTTGAGTGGATTATTTCCCCCAGATGTGGTTTCCTTACATTCTGCTCCCTATAGTTCACAACTCCAGGGAGTCGTGCCTGTGCCCTTCTGCAGCATCCCAACCACAGACACGAGACCTTGGCCTCAGTCACAGATTGTCATGTCCTTCCTGGAGACAGCCTTCTCTTATGCACCCTGAGAGTCCCCAGGAGCCCAGTGAGAGTGAGGGCAGCTCACAGCGTCTGGCCCCACTTTTGCAGCTTCAATCCTTCAAAATGGTTCCTGAGACATTGTGCTTCTAAGAGCCATGCGACCGCTGGCAAACTTCTCTGAGTTACACAACAGATGCCTCAGATTTATCCTCAGATGCCCTAAGCCTGGACACTTCCTATCAAATATAGGACAGCTTGTTTTGTTCCAAAGGAAGGAAGCAGGGGAAAAAAAACAGGATGTGGATACAAGTCACTGCACCCAGCTCTCCAACAACCTGCCTCATCCATTCTTTTGCACCAGTGTTGACCCCGGCATCAGTGAACAATAGGAAGTTCTTGCTCTCCAAGAGTCAGAGTAAGTTAGACTCCAAGAATCAAATGAGAAAGGGGCATTAATGAAGTGTAGTTGAACTGTGACCTCTTCGTAGGTGGGAGCAGTACATTCTAAGGCCAGCAGGACTGTCTCACATGACACAACAGACCAGGGATCATGACTGAGCTTGTCCTGTCCTTTGTGTCAACAAATCTGCCATTCGCTAAGGGACCTAAAGATCAGTTGGCTGGAGTCCAAGAACAAGCTCCCGGTTTCACCAGTCTGCTGCAGCCACAGCTCTCTTAGAGACTGCTTGAGGACAATATTAAGCTGTTTGGGGAGATGGCCCAGTAGGATAAGCACTTGCTTCCCATGCCTGAAGACCTGAATTTGAACCCTAGCCCCTTACTTAAAAGCCAGATACTGTGGCTGACATCTGTAACCTCAGAGTAAGAAAAAAATTATCATGGACTTGACAGTCTTTCCAAAATAGGGAGGACTCCAGGCTTAATAAGAGAACTTGTCTCCAAAAGTGAGATGGAAGGGCCTATAGATATGGCTCAGAAGATATGGTTCTTGAAAAAGACCCAAGTTCTGTTCCCAGCATCCATGTGGGACTGCCCAAAACCTCCTGTAAATCTAGCTCCTGGAAATTTGACACCATTTTCTGGATTGTGTCAGCATCTTCACTCACACGTACACATTCCCACACTATACACACACACACACACTATACACACACACACACACACACACACACACACACACACACACACGCAAGCATGCACTTATGTAAGTTTAATTCTTAAACATCTTTTCAAAGAGGCTGGAGATATGGCTCAGCAGTTAAGAATACTGGCTGTTCTTCCAGACAACCTGGGTTTAGTTCCTAGTACCCACATGGTGGCTCACAACCATCTGTAATTGCAGTTCCAGGGGTTCTGACACCCTCCTCTGGCCTCTATGAGCACCAGGCACACATGTGATACACAGACGTACATACAGACAAAATACCCAGATACATAGAATAAACTGAAGCAAGTTTTTCAAATCTCAAAAAAAATAAATAAGGTGGAGAGCCATAGGAGACATCCAGCATCAGCCTCTGATCTTCACATGCAAGGGGAACATACATCACACACACACACACACACACACACACACACCACTGCACACAGGTTAGATATGTCAGCTCCCCCTAGCTCCTCAAACTTAGACCCACAGGGAATATCTATTATATACAAAGCACCCCCTGTGTTCCTCAGGAAAAGGACGACCCCTGCCTCAAAGGGACACATTCTGAGATCTGAATAGGATGAAAGATAGACGCTACCAATGCCTCCAGACTATAACTGGAAACCAAGAATGGAGAAAGTAACCCTGGTAGAAACTTCTACACCCGAGGCCCTTCACCCACCTACTGCCTTCCTTTCCTTCCCACGCCTGTCCAAACTGCTTCGGAATCGATTTTCAGTTGCTTGGCTTTTTTGTTTGTTGGTTTGTTTGGCTAGATTTTTGTTTGCTTTTTTGATTCACTGTGTTCAGCCTTGATTTGAATCATGAGCCATTATATAATATGTCCTTAAGTGAACACCTTGTCCCCTTTGAATCTCAGCTTCCTCATCTTGGCTCACACTAGGGAAACAAATCCACACCCTGCCCTTCACGTGTCTCAGCTTTAGGTATGAATCCAACCCACAGCAGAGGTGCCAAGCCCTAGAGGAATGCAATGATGCTGAGCCTGTGATGGTTTCTCGGGGGAACATATATAGCGCTCACGAACAGCCACCACTTCAATCCCGGCATGCCCTTCCTGGTGTCAATCCAAAGCCCTCCAGATAGTGGTATTGAAATCAAGAAGCTGAAGCTAGGCTGTGTTCCAGGATCTCTGTACACTTTCAAGTTTGGGTGGAGAATCTGGAAAGAAGTGGACAGCCAGCTCTGGCATGGAGTTGTAAGAGGTATATACTATGGAAGTCCACTGATTGGAGGCCCTCCCCAACTCTGAAGAAGGCAGTAAGGACAAAGTGGGGGGAGCACAGAGGAAAGGGGCCAAAAGCCTTCCCAAGTGCCTCTCATGCCCTGAAGGCACTCCCAGAGTTAGCAGAGACCCACCCAAGTCTTCCTGATCCCTCCTCTCCTTCCCCACCATTCTGTCCTCTGCAGACTCCTCTCACTACAATCTTGCCTTTTATGTTCATTCATTCAGCCATGCCTAGTCTGTGTCAACTTTTTGCTGTACCTTGAGGGCACAGGAATAAATCAGACCAGATCTCCATTCTCCAGAAATCTCAGACTAGTAGGAAAGATGAAAGGTGCTAAAATGAAAAGAATGGAACAGAAGTGAACCCTGGGAAGGTCCACCCTCCTGGGAGCAGGGAAGGCTCTAGTGTCTGTTTTCTCTCACCCAAACCATCCTTTAAAAAAAATGCTGGCCGGGCATTGGTGGCACAGGCCTTTAATCCCAACACACGGGAGACAGAGGCTGGTGGATCTCTGTGAGTTCGAGGTCAGCCTGGTCTACAGAGTGAGTTTCAGGACAACCTCCAAAACAATACAGAGAAACCCTGTCTCGAAAAAAAAATGCTGGATGCTCAGTGGTACGGGGAAGTTCATAGGCTACCCCCAACAGGTTATCTGTAGAGAGCAAGAATAGGATTAGAGATCAAGTTCATTTCCAGTGTCAACTCCAAAAGAGAGGTAATTCCCCCAGATGGAGGAATAAGGAACTAGAAAGCCCTTTCTGCTGCTTTATCCCTGGCATCCATGCCTAGACTCCCAAACATATCTGCCTGTGCTCAAAATACTCGGGAAGACTTTTAATCTCAGGTTCCTAGTTCCAACCTGACATATTAGGATCTCTCACTTGATTCCAAACCCCCTGAAGGTCCAGATCCCCATGACAGGAGGAGTTCCTGAGACTGGTGCTGAGGTAGATCCCTACTGTGCTGCCTTCACAGGAGAACCAACCAGCATCTGAGCCTGAGAAAACGCCATAATTCCTCAGCCACATGAAGCAGACACAGAAGGTACCTCCTGGCTCTGCGGATACCAACCTTTCAGACATGCTGGGAGGTCTCAAGAGGCAGCTCTTATCTCTGCCTTTAATTTCCTCATTGGTACTAGAAATCTTTACACTGCGCAGAGCAGTAAGCTTAAGTAATCTAAATAGGACTGTCTAGTTGTTGGATGGCATTTTGAGGATTTAGTCTCTCCCCTGTGTGATCCATCAACAAGACTCCCAACTTGCACTTTGGGCCTCGAAATAGTGGGAAAGCATCCGGGCCTTCTTAAGCTCCCCCTGCTCACACTGATGGCCTCCCTTACCAGCCTCTAGGGGATTAGCCCTGATTCTCCCATCCCCATCCCCACATACCTCCAGGGCATGACCAAAAAGCCAGTGGGTGGGGGGTCCTGGGAAGCTGTCCATAGCCCTGGCCAGCTTCTGCCTCCGCAACAGCAGGGTGAAGAGCTTGAGGGCGCTTACGATCAGGATCACTACAGATGCCCACAGCCCCAGGCGGGACAGGTTTGGGGAGAGGAGGCTGAGCACCATGGCTAAACTTGCAAGGCCCAGGCTTCCAACTACCTCCAGCTGCCCGTGGCTTGCCTTATAGTCTAGACACAGGCACCCTGCCAAGTCCCAGCCTCTTGACACACCCGACAGCCAACAGCAGCCCAAACTAGGCTGAGTGCCATAGGGTGGAGATAGACGCCTCAAAGCTCATAGGTACCAGAGAGAGCCTGACTGACTTCTATGAAAACACAGCTTAACAGAGACCAGCCCATGAGTACCCCACCTTGGCTTCTTGGAGAAGAGAACAGAGGGCAGTTCTTGGTGTGATTGTTGCAGCTGCCTTTCTATGTACAAGTACTTTGTATGCTTAAGAGACTTCACACACACTATCTCACTTATCTCACTTAGTGCACACAAAGAGGTCATAGGTACTCGTTCTTTGTGTTTGTTTCCCAGATAAGATCATCTGTGCTTCACTGTCCCCTTCATGTGGATTCACACTTTCGCCTGTTTCATAATGCTAAGTTCCTTTTTGTGAGATGACTCTAGGGACTATGTCACAGCTGCAGAAGGATGAACTACTACCCAAAAAAACCATAGTACAAACTGGATGGGAATACAGAATATGCTTTCAAGATGATGAAGATGAATCATCAAATCTTTCTTGAATAGATGGAGACGCTCAGACCCAGTGATCAGTAGAGAAATGCCCAGTTTCCCAGAAAGATCGTGGCTTCTCTGAGTGCCACAGTCAAGACTTCTGCTGAAGGACAGTATTAGCTGAAGCACCTGCCTTGGCAGGGAGTACCTGCTGTTTTCCTTCTAATGTAGAATTGTATCATTCTGAGAAAACACAGAACACAGAATTCACTACCAGTATTAATGTGAGGGTCCTTTCTGGAGGGTAGATAAGATTTTAAAGCATCAGAAAAGATCTGGCATGCATCCATAAATTAGCAACAGGAACACCACCAGCACTCTTGCATGAAGGAACAAGAATGGTGTTCCCACAAATCGGGTGGATCTGCCTTTGTTAGACACAATGCTGGCACAAGGAACTGTGTCCCAACCCCTCCTTTTCCACTTTTCAACCTCCTACTGATGTTCCCCATCCGTCAACCAAATCAGGAGATAGCAAGGGCATAAAGGAAGGTCAATCTGTGGAAGCCAGATTTTCAGTAGGAATAGAAAAAAACAAATACTGAGTGGGGTGCAGAGGTGACAGGGCAAAACCAGGGCACAGGTGAACTTGGAACTCCAACAGAATGTCCTGACTCATGTAATGATGAGTCATCAACATGGATTTCTTGTCCTTTCTGGCAGAGGAGACCAAGTCTCCTCCCTTGGAGAGATAACATAGGCAGACCTACCCACAGGTGGAGAAGCAAGAAATAATGTGATGAAAGGAACTCCAAAAGTTTCTTCTCTATTGGTCTATCCCACTTCTGAAAATTCATATCCAAGTTTCACTTTATCCCAATGAAAATGCAGTTCACCCAGGTCAGAGTAGTAGCAGACATGCTGAGCCATTTGCTGACTTTCCCATTTTATAGTGAATTTGTATGTCAGCATGTCCCACCAGGCAGTATGATAAAGGATGTGTTTGAGGAAGGACCTAAGGGAGCGCCAAGATGCTGAAGAAGCCATAGTCCTTGCCAAGGACCATATGAAGTTCACCTAGAAGTGAAAAGGGCTAGCCTAGAAAGTTTCTAGTGGTTAAAGTATATTTTGGCTGAATTAATCCCCAGTATCATTTTCCTGAACCCCTTTTCTACCCAGTGCCATTAATTTAATATCTTGGGGGTATATTGAGATTGATTCTGTGTTATATAACAGAATTTATAATCTGTTTGTCATGCCTTGCCATCTACTTCCTGCTACAATGTAGCAACAAGCTACCCTTCTAGGGCAAAAGGCAGGTCATCCTGTGATGACCAAAGTCATGCCTAGGCAACAACCAACTCCAAGGTCCCAAACCTACCTATGCCTGGCCATTTGGTAGTATAAGTAAAGACATTTGTGTTTACTCACTTTATCCATAGTGATTCATTATTTCCAGAATAAATGCGGAACCAATGTCATCCAACCAAAACTAATAAAACTTGCCTACTAGTCCTAAATTAAGGAGTCTGGAGTGTGTGTGTGTGTGTGTGTGTGTGTGTGTGTGTTTCATTGGATTTGATCTGGAAGAATATAATCTCATGTGCTATTAATAGGGAAAGAGCTGAACAAGAATGTACTCAACCTAAGAGAATTGAGAAATGCACTGAAACAAATCCATCTATTTTTCCATTACTATAAAAAATATATATACCTAAGGCTATAATTTGTGGAAAGATTGCTTCACTAACAGTTTGGGAGGTTCAAAGGCATAGCACTGCCATCAGCTTGGTTCTGAGAAGGACCTCCTCATGTCAGATGGCATTATGGCAAATGCATTCAATAGATGGGAATAATATTGCAAGAAAGTAAGCCCCAAAGTGATTCAGAAGCCTGGCATTGTCTTATAACAAGCATCTTTCAAGAACTAACCAGGAATCACACAAGACTACATCAATTCTTTGTGGAGTATCACACTTAATTACCTATAACTTCTTACTAGAGCCCACTTTTAAAGGCCCCACTACCTCTTACGAGAACCACCTTGGTAGCTTCTAACACTTAAACCCATAGTAAACTCATTCAGATCATAGCCACCAATTACATTGTTTGAACTCCTAGATCAAACTTCAACAATAGTTCCAAATAACTTTACCCCCATTTACTTATATGAGCCAATAAATTCCTTTATTGCTTAAACTCAGGTTAAGTTTTCCATTGCTTGGAACCTTGGGAATCACATATGATATACCAGAGAAAACTCAGGAAATTGGCAAAGGTCTTGTTAAATGGTGTTAAAACTCATTTAGAGCATTAGCCTAAGACACACTGAATGAAATTAACCTAAGAAGAAACACGATTAGCCTAGTGCCTTCTGAGCAGCACTGAAGGGGAGTCATAAATGAGTTGTGAGACTGACCCAGGAAAGCCTCCCATAAAAGGAGCACAAAATCAAGGGTGGTCAGAAGGTGGTTTCAGGAAGATCACCTGTGTGTGTGTGTGTGTGTGTGTGTGTGTGTGTGTGTGTGTGTGTGTGTGTGTGTGTGTGTTTACTCTGGAAGGTAGGAGGTAGTGCCTGCTAAACACTTAGAGGGGAGACAAAGCAACCAATGCACTGTTCCTTTTAGGAGATGGCAAGCCTGGGTAGGGAAGTAAAAGGAAGCATGATTCTGACCTGGTATTCTGGGAGGGGCCTGAGGTTCAGCCATGGTTGGCAAACTAGGAGACAAAGTTAGAAAGAGAACATCACTGGTAGTCTCAGAGATTCTGCCTATCTTCTCATTCTAGAAACAAGGTCCAGTAATCAAGATGAATCTATCACACTGACTCCCCACTGTAGGGTAAAAATGATCAGTGAAAGAAAACCCTGGCCCTGAGAACAGAGGCAAAGAAACACACCCTGCCCCTAACCAATTCAGGAATTGAAATCCAGCCAATCCCTGAGCATGAAAACCAACCAATCTCAGAGCTTCCGAGATCAGGAATTAAGATCCTACCAATCCCCACCTGAAAACCTCCACCTTGGAAAGCTCTGTCCCTAAGAAATCCTGTGTAAGCCCTGCACCTGTTCAGTTTGGGACTGCCCTTCTTCTACCCTGGCAGAGGCAGCCATTTTCTTGGATTCTTCCCTCCCAATAAATCTCTTAAGTGAGGGTTATGGTAACAAGTTTCTCTCACCAAAGTGGAGGGGGCTGAGGAAACTACTCCTTGATGGAGCAAAGTGTTACACTCCATGGAAGCTGAGAAGAGCTGAAACATTTCTCCTGAACAGAGCAGAGCTGTGACACCTCTCTGGGGAAATCCTTCCCTTTTGGAGCAGAGTTGTTATACTTGCATTAGGGAAACCTTTCCCAGAGCAAGTACTGTAACAATTTGCTGAGTAAACTGTCCCCCACCAGAACAGAGCTGTAACACTTCTGTTGGGATACCTTTGCCTTCTGATCTGTAAGGTAATCCTTGACTTTCGGCTGCCAGGATTCCTTTGCCTTCTGAGCTGTAACACTTACAGGGTTTCCCTGGCTTCTGACCGCCAGAATATCTTCCCCTTCCAAGCTATAACACTTACACTCACTCCCTAGCTAAATCTTGCAACCACCCATACTTCTAAGGCAAAAGACAAGTAACCACATGACCAGAGTCAAAGGCTGAATAACAGCTAATTCCTGGTTCTGCCCTAAAAGGTACCTACACTTTACCACATGAATAGTGATCCTTGAAAGCCATATAAACACTTCTCTAAAGTGACCAACCACTGCTCTTGGCCTAGCTTTCAAGAGCACCATAGAAAACAGTTGCTGTGAAAAGAGACTTGGAGATAAGTCACAGTCCAGGAGTGTGATGTAACAGGCTGAAGCTAGGACTCAGAAGCAGATTTGCATCACTTCTCAACTTTAGGTTCAACGACATCACACAAGCAGCTTGAAATTGATCACTGCAGGGACATTAAACACTGCAGAGATCATGAAACTTACCAAGGCTTTCTCTTCCAGGAAGCCAGCTGTTAAACATTTCCCAACATGCCATTGGCCCAACCCCAAAGCTTAAATCCTTTATCCTATGGCACTTGGCTAAGAATCCACATGATGCAAGACTGTGGGAAGACCGGGAGGCTGCTTTTTAACGCCTCAAAAAGGACATTTGCAAATCTAGAATTACTACTTGTCAGAGGAAGACTTGGCTATAGATGCAGGGAAGGGAAGACACTAGAGAGAAGGGTGCTGCCTTTACCCAGAAGCTTTTCTCCTCCAGGAAGACCCCCACCAATGCCTTTCTCTCCAAAAGAAAAAGAAAAAAAAAACACCAACTCAAACCTTTATCTACACTCCTCATAAATGTGTGTGCCTTCTCCCTGGCAGCCATTTAAGTGTGTGTCTTATTCTTCAAATCCTTCCAACTGGCTGCACTCCAGAGACCAAATCAGCCTTTCCCTTGATGTGCATGGAACATAAAGGCACTCAGTTGAACCAGAACCGTATTTGTAAA